CTCCTCTCTCTCTCTCTCTCTCTCTCTCTCTCTCTCTTTGGTGCTTTGTATGAATAAACACCATAACACAAGATGATGATGTGATTTACTTGGGTAGCTTATCTTAAACATGTGACTTTGCATTCATTCTTTATCTTTCTTTGTGTGCAATGCTTGTATAAACTCAAGATGAACATGTTTGATAGGTGGTGGTTGCATATGTGATTATGACTGCATGCTGTTGGACCCTCTCCTCCTAGTTGTTTGATGTGATAAGTTGTAAAATTTTCTTTAAATTCGTTTGGGTTTGGTTGAGACCTTCCCTGACATTGTAGTTAATACAGCTGACTTGCATTCTTCTTACATTTCATGCAATGGGCATGTGACTTGTGTTGTTCTTGCATTTAACTATAGTAGGCTTTTGCATAGTTGCCATGGATGAGTCGGATGTTGAAGAAGAGATGGAACTGGCGGCTGCAACTGTTGCCTATTACTGGTATACTCACATGTCAAAAGAACCATTTTATAATTCATCTCTTAGTGGTACTAAGTACGTAAAGGAAGTACTCAATGGCAAAGAAACATATTGTCGCAAGATTTTGCGAATGGATAAGTGCGTGTTCTATAAGCTTCGTGATATGCTTCTATCCAAAGGCTTGCTGCGTAACACATCTAAACTTACTATTGAAGAGCGGCTTGCAATATTCTTGATTACTATTGGCCATAACCAGCGTAATCGTATAGTTCAGGGACGATTTCAACATTCTGGTGAAACCATTAGTCGACATTTTAATGACATGTTGCATGCAATTTTGAAACTATCGTCGGATCTCATTCAACTTCCCAATACTAGTACCCCTGAAGAAATCCACAAGAATTCTAAGTACTTCCCTTATTTCAAGGTAATCAACTAGTGACCACCTATGCATTCTTATTCATTCTTATATATTTTGCCACTCAATTCTTTTTATTCTCTTGAAGGATTGTATTGGAGTGGTAGATGGGACACATATCCCTGCTATGCTTGGCGTCGAAGATCAACCACGTTTTCGTAATCGGAATGGACTTTTTACACAAAATGTTATGGCAGCGTGTTCATTTGATTTACGATTTGCATTTGTTCTCGCGGGTTGGGAAGGCTCGGCTGAAGATTCACATGTATTGAGATCAGCATTGACAAATGGATTTCAAGTCCCTGAAGGTATCAGGAATCTTGTGTAGATATCTTCTACTTCTGTGGTTTGTTTATCCTGTAAGCCTAAAAGCTCTCCATGATTTAGGTAAATACTACCTCGTCAATGAGGCACATTCAAATGTTTCGGGATTCATGGCTCCGTATCAAGGTGTCCGTTACCACTTGAATGAATTTATGGGTGATCAGCTACCACAAAATGAGATGGAGCTATTTAACTATCGACATTTGTTGTTAAGAAATGCAATTAAGTGCACTTTCGCTGTATTGAGAGCACGCTTCCCTATATTAAAGTCGCCACCTCCTTACCCATACAAAACACAAGTCAAGTTGGTCCAAGCAGCGTGCATTTTACATAATCTTGTCCACCAGGAGAATAGAAATGATTGGCTTTTCACAAGATATGAAAGCGAAACTGAACCTGAAGAAGAAAAGCTGGAGGATCAGCCTGAAATACAGGTATTAGAAGATGCTTCCCTATCAAGTCAAGATCAAGTTGCTTTTGCATTGCGGGATTCAATTGCGAGTCATATGTGGAATGATTACACATATGGTGTGAAAGCATAACATGAACTCCGGCATCTAGTTTTAGAACTCCGGCATCTAGTTCTACCGTTGTTTGCTTTGTCATGATGATGTTGAGAAGACATTGATAATGTGGTAGTTTTCACTCAGTTGATTACTTTATAGATTTTTGTTCATTTTCTCTCAGTAGCATTTTGACCTCTCATCTTGTGAGATCCAGTCATATTCTGCCATTCTCTCTCTCTCTCTATCCATCTATTGATTTTGTCGGGTTTCTTCTCTTATGGGACTTCCTTGTGATCTCTATCTACAATCCATTTCTAGTGTCTCTATAATTTGTTTGAAGCCTTTTTCCTTGTCTATAACTTGTTTGTAGCGTCTCATGGGTTTTTTACTGAATATTTATCGAACTTGCTCTCTCCACAATTTCTTATAGGTATTCTGCTACATTTGCTTGTGATATCTTCCTATATATATATATATATATATATATATATATATATAAT